TCATACATGTCTTTTATCACATCAATATATCCTTTGATCTCACACCTTTTTCTCCAACACCTACCATATTATATATTAAAAATACTGTATTATTGATTGATATTGATGTGTTGTTTATATTACAATTACAAGGATTCCTATTATATAGGAGTGTGTTTGGGAGTAGGTGGAGAGTAGGTGAAGTGGAGGTGGTAGTGGTGTAGTGGATTAGGTTTAGTGGAGTAGGTGAGGTGGTAGTGGTGGTAGGTTTATGGTAAATTAACAGCCCCCCGCAAACTCAAGGAGGATAGAAACTAACCAACTTGAGTTTGAAGAGAGGAACAAAACAAGAAAATACACAAAAAAATAAAAGAGGATAGGAGACACTGTATGGTCGTGTCAGACCATTGGTGAAGACACTGGATGGTGGTGTCATAAGTTGTAGAGACACTGTATGGTGGTGTCATAACGTTGTAGAGGAACTGTATGGGGGTGTCATAACGTTGTAAGAGGACACTGTATGGTGGTGTCATGTAGAGGACACTGGATGGGGGTGTCAGACCGATGTAGAAGACAGTTTATGGGTCATGTCGGACCGTTGTAGCAGACAATGTTGTGACAGTTTACGGAGTCTTGCTGGACCCTTGTAGAAACTAACCGGAATCAATGTCGGGACAGTTATAGGGTCATGTCAGACCGTTGAAAAAGTTGCACCCTCAAAAGGTGTGCCCAATTTTGTCAAAAGGCGTGTCATCAAAAGGCGTGCCCAATTCATCAAAGACGAGCCATCAAAAGGCGCGCCAGACACGCGGCGATGCACGTGATCGACAATGCGCGTGTCGGCCTCTTCGTCATGTTCTATATAAATCAATGCAGAGGCTGAGAGAACATGTGGAAATCAAACCAGTCGGAAACCTCTGAAAAAAACTCTTCGTTTTGCTGAGAGAGATAGTCTGTAACACTCTGTTTTCTGAGGGAGATTCCTGAGAGAGACACTCTGTAACACTCTGTTGTCCAGAAAATGGCTTATCTTCCCGTGGTCTGCTCACTCTCTTCCAAACCTTAACGAGTCAACAAGAGAGATAACTGGTGCGGGGGCCGGTGAACCTCAACCAAGCGCCCCAGGGTTTGCTCTGTTGAACTTTCCTATGCGGTCGGTGGAGCAAAAAATGGCAGTGCAAACTGACATTGAAGCCAATCAGTATACTTTGAAGTCATGTGTGGAAACCATGACTGCGGTCACAACCTGTCGCACCGGCTGCAGAGTAGGACAAATGAGGTGCAACAGTTAAACTCCCAGCTGGCTCTGCTCCAACGTATGTATAAGGATGCGCGAGCAAGAGATGTGCTAAAGACAGAAACAAAGGAGCTGAAGCGGAAGGCCACCGTGATGTTCCGATTTGGAGGTCCACCATATGCTGTAGTGGAGGAGCAGGGAGGATTGAATGTGCTCGGTGGCATGGGAAACACGGAGGCAACACCGTCAAGGACTGCCCAGGACGTAGGCAAAAAGAAGAGACCGGTGGAATAGGCGAAGAAGTGAGGTCGATTGGTGGCCGGCTGCAGAAAAGAAAACAAAGCTGTTGGTTTTAGTTTGTTTTGTTTTGTTTTTTTTTTTTTTTTTTTGATGTAAAATGGTGATCGGGGTGAACCCCGACATGAATAAAATAAGTTTGGTGTGCAGTTCTTCCGTTTCTTCATTCGTCTTTTTTTTTTTTTTTTTTTTTTTAGAAGGAAATCAG